ATATATAATTAAATATAAATACAAATGTGGGCCTTCAAATCAAGCATATTTGGTGAAATCCTGCATATATGGGCCTCTTTGAAAAAAATCCTGCATGTGCTTTTGGAGCCAGCACGCCCCTGCTACTTGCTCTTTGTGAGACTAATTTGAGTTCAGCTGTCTCATCTTGTGATCTTAGTGTTGATGGTTATTTTCCTTTCATTCATAAAGACTCCAATAGTCACATGCTTGGCATGGGCATTTACATTCATAAGAATTCACCCGTTTGTTGGAAAACTAGGTTTGAACCCAGACTACTCTTTTATGTGCTTTCGCTTAGCACCACTTCACTATATCGCCATTCTCTTTGTTCTATATCGCTGCCCTTCATCTCAAGATTGCAGTCTTTTTGATGATATTTCTGATCAAATTGACCAAGCCTTCTCTCTTCATTCATCAGCCAATATCGTTGTTGTTGGTGACTTTAATGATCATCTCACGGAATGGCTTGGCTTTAGTGTCAGTGACTCTGCAGGAGTAAAAGCCCACAACTTTTACCTTCTTCCCAGACAATCCAAATCATTTACCTTCTCTACTCGACTTATGCCTTGTTTCTGATCCAAGTCAGTGCTCAGTTTCTCTACATTCACCCTTAAGTGTTTCTGATCACGATTTGATCTCTCTAAAATTATTATCTCATTCTTCTTCGCCGTCTAAATCCCCTTCATCATCTAAATTCCCCTATCTTATACAACTACCTAAAAGCTGACTGGGACTCTTTCCGCGATTTCCTTTGTGATGGCCTTTGGGTAAAAATCTTTCATCTTCCTGTTGACAAATGTGCTTCTTACATAACTTTGTAGATTCAAGCTGGCATGGAATCTACTATTCCCTCTTGACGATTCCAGGTCGAGCCTAACTCTTCTCCATGGTCTTCCTCACATTGTACTGCTGCAATTGCCAATCAAAACTGTTACTTCCATATCTACCAGCAAAACAATTCTCCAAAAAACAAACGCCTGTTTATAACTGCTAGAAACCATTGTAAAAAGGTTTTGTCTAACGCCAAAGCCCGCTATTCTCAAGTCATGAAATCTCATATTTCAACACAAAAATAAGGCTCTCGTGACTGTTGGAGAATCTTTAATAGTATCAATAGTAAGGGCAAATCTGTAATCCCACCTCTCTTGTATCGTTCAGACTTTGTCACTTCACAAAGCTGAATTGTTTGCTAAGAACTTTTCATCAATATCATTTCTTGATTCCACTGCGTTCTACCTGATATAGCTGTTAAACAGGTTGATCCATTGCTTGACATTTATATCACTCCAGCTTCTGTATCTAAAGTGATTTCCTGCTTAGACTCTTCTACAGCCTGTGGTCCGAATAAAATACCTGTTATTGTATTACAGAAGTGTTCTCCGGAGTTGTCGCCTATACTTTCAAAACTATTCAACAAGTGCTTATCAGAGTCTTGTTTTCCAGACTGCTGGAAAACAGCATCTGTTATCCCTATTTTCAAAAATTCTGGAGAGCAATCTGATTAGTCTAACTACCATCCCATTAGTCTTCTTCTTATCATAAGCAAGGTTTTTGAGTCTTTAATTAACAAACACTTAATCTCTTATCTTGAATCTAACAACTAAGGCTGATTTGCTAACAGTAATAACTAATAGGTTTTAGATAAAGGTGGTGCATTAGATAAAGGTGGTGTGGTTAAGGCCAGCGCTTTTGACATTTCTAAAGCTTTTGATAAAGTTTGGCATGCTGGTCTTCTCCAAAAGCTTTCTTCTTACAGTGTATCTGGTAACCTCATTAAGATTATTGAATCCTTCCCTTCCAATTGTAGTAGAAAAGTTGTCCTCGATGGACAGCACTCTTCTTCTTATTCTGTAACCTCAGGGGTTCCTCTAGGTTCAATCCTTGGCCCTATACTCTTTTTAATTTACATTAACAATCTTCCAGATATTCTCACATCTAAGATGGCATTGTACGCTGATGATTTTACCATTTATTCTTGTCATGATAAGAAGCCAACTCTCTCTGATTGCTTGGAGAGGGCATTTGAGCTTGAGAAGGATCTCTCTTCTGCTACAGCATGGGGCTCACAGTGCCTGTTGAACTTTAATTCAGATAAAACTCAATTTTTTTTCAGCCAATCATTATCGCAATAATTTAGATCTTCCTATATTTATGAATGTTAATGTACTTGATGAGTCATCTACCCTTCATCTTCTAGGATTAACTCTTACTTCCGATCTTTCTTGGAAACCATATATCAAATCCTTCGCAAAATTTGCATCTGCTATGGTTGCATCTCTTTATTGAGCTTGACACTTTCTTACTCTGGACTCTATTCTCTATCTCTATAAATCTTAAATCCGGCCTTGTATGGAACACTGTTGCCACGTCTGAGGCGGACCTTCTAATGATGCCCTTTCTCTTTTAGACCTTGGGTGCAAAAACGCATTGTAAACATAGTTGGACCTGCTCTTGCAGCCAACTTTCAACTTTTATCACATCGTTGTATTGTTGCATCTATTTCTCTTTTCTACAAATACTAAAATGTGGACTGCTCTAAAGAGTCCACATTTTAGCGTCTATTGTGCCATCTACTAAAATTCCTGTGTTACTCCTCATTCAATTAAGTCTTATCCTTTTTCTGTGACTGTTCCTAAGTACTCCAAAAACTCTTATTCGCCTAGTTTTTTTCCTCAAACATCGGTTCTTTGGAATTCGATTCCTTCATCTTGCTTTCCTGATTCATATAATTTGCAATCTTTTAAGTTGTCTGTCAACCGTTATCTTGCTCTACAATCTTCATCTTTTCTCTTCCAGTAACTTCCAACTCTAATTAGTGGCTGTTTGCAGCCTTATTGGAAGCAAAGATGTTTAAAAAAAAATTATTATTTTATTAATAATTTAAATTTGATAATAAAGTAATAATTTTATCATTAAATAAAATTAATATTTTATTATTAATTTTTCATTATTAATGTACTGCTTAAAATATTTTTTTTTAAGTACATTAAGATCATTAGGGATTGGGGAAGCAAAACAAACATATACATAAATTAACTGTTGCTACAAAGTGAAAAGTACATTCATTGACTAAGGGTTATAGTATCAGTCTAAAAATTTTTAACTTTTTCTGTTTTCATTCTTAAAAATCTTAAAAGTTATTTTCTTTAAAAAAAAAAGTTATAAGCTTTTTTAGTTCCTTGAATGAATTTAAAAAGCGGTTTTAAAGCTACAATACTTTCTCTAGTTATAAAAATCACAATCAATACAAATCAGTTGTAAAAAATGGTCATCATGGTGATAGTTGTAAAAAATAGTTATTTTAATGATGATGATGTTAATGATTTAATAATCAATGAAATGATCATTAAATCATTAAAAACAATTTAAGTTGAACTCAAAATCCTTTCAAAAACAGTTTAAAACAAAAAAAATTAACTCAAAATATTATGTTTTGGCGGCACTAAACTGATTGATTTAATTATTAATTGCTTAACAAAAATGTTAATGTTTTAAAAAATTTATGCATTAGGGTAGGGAGTTAATTTTGTAATAAAAATTATGCTAGGGAAAGAGGGTCCAAAATCAGTGGTTTTACTGTGTACATACTTTATGGATGCCTCTTAGCCAGATTAATACAGGATAGTACAAATTTTTTTTTTAACTTTACAAAGTGGAAAGTAAATAAATAAATTCAATAAGACTAAATTTGAAGTTATTGTTAGATTCATCTTGCTCTGAGTACATTAGCTGACTTTTTTTCTTAAATCTTTTGCATATAAAATATATATACTTAATAATATACTTTCTTATATAAGTAAGTATATAATATATATATATATATATATATATATATATATATATATATATATATATATATATATATATATATATATATATATATATATATATATATATATATATATATATATATATATATATATATATATATATATATATAAAATCAAAGTTTATAAACGACAAAAATTGGTAAATTTAATGACAAAAACTATATATATATAAAGCGTGTAAATAAATGTGAAAGAATAAGTACGTCTTTTTTTTTCATTGGTTATATTAAAATCTTTTTAATTGTTTTGTATTTAGTTTACAACATGTTGTGGTTTCAAAAAAATGTATTAGTTTTTTGATAAAATGAAAAAAACAAAAAAACTTTGCAGAAATATTAAAAATAATAAAATATCATTTAAAAAAAAAGCATCAGATGGCTTCAATTCTTATTCTGTGCACAAGCTTATGGGTACCACCAAAGCAAAAGTTCAAAATTTTATTAGATTCCCACAGGAATAATTTGTTTTTTTTAATATTTGATCTTCTTATATTATTGTATTAAAGTTATTACTTGGTTGGAAATAAAAATTGCAGAGTACTTCTTTTTAGTTGTTTTTCTACTTTCACATTTATTTTATGTATACGCTTTACACACACACACACACACACACACACACACACACACACACACACACACACACACACACACACACACACACACACACATATTAAAAAATATATATGAATAATATAGTATAAATAATAATAACTAATGAATTGATAAATTTTTTAATTAATAAATAAAGAAAACAAATTTTTTCTTTTTTTATTACAAAACTTTTAGACAAGGAATTTTATTTTTTAGAAAAGAACAAAAACTTACAGCATTATAGATTGAAAAAACTAAAATACTAAAAACTATGATAAAAAAACAAGGTCGAAAGATATGAAAACTAGTGTTGTGAAAGTAAAATTTACCAGAATATTTTCTGGTAAATTTACCAGAAAATTTTGAAAATTTACCACCTGGTAAGTTTTGAAATTTTTTTACTAAATTTTATTTTTCTTTAACAAAAAAAATTTTTCTAAGGAAAATTTACCCTCTCCAATTTAAAATTTATCGGTAAATTTATCGGTAAATTTTGAATAAAATTTTACCAGAAAATTTACATCACTAATAAAAACTGATATAAAAATAAAATATTTACCTGCATTGTATCATATATTGCCAAACCTGCAGTCACAACACCACCTGTTTATTATAAGATAAAGATATATAGTTATAAAAATAATCAAAGAAATTCACCTCTTACAAAACATACATAAAAAATACAATAATTTCAACTTATTTCTCATTTATAATTTACAAATTATATTATTATAAATAATAAATTAACTCCTTTATAACTTACAAATTATTGTATTTTTTATGTAAAACATACATGTTTCTCTTTCTATACATACGTCTTTTCAAAAAAATACAATATATTTCTTCTATATATATAAATATTTACATATTTCATAAAAGAAAATAAACCTTTATAATTGACTTTTAAAACATTGCAATTGCCTCCTTTAATATTTTAAACTGTTATTTTGTTCATATTTTTAAGTAAACAACAACAAACATTTCTGGATAAAATGCAAACAACATGTTTACCTACCCCAAATGGCTTTATGGAACCATAAAGCCATTTGGGGTAGCAGCCTGGACCCCAGCATTTCAATGTATTGGGTCTGGTGCATGATTCGATTTACAATATGCAGGCGGTCTGAAGTCCTCAAGCTATAATGGAATGGGATGGCTGCAAAAACACATTCTGAAAGAAGAGTTCATTCATCAACTGTAGCTCTTTAATTAGTGTTTTTATTGCTAAAAAAAACTTACTTTGAGTCAATCTTTTTTTACCCATTTTTATCATCTTTTATTTTACCAATTTTTGTTGTTTAAAAACTTTGATTTTATCCGCTCTCCCACCAACTGTAGCCCTGATCCTTAATTAGTGTTTTGACTGCTAAAATTTTGAGTCAATTTTTGTTTTTACCATTGTAGGAAATAAAATCAATTTATTTTGTTAAAACTTTTTTTTTTAACTTTTTAAATTAACAATGTGTTAATAACTTATTAAATAATGAAAATAACTGAAAAAAATCTTTTAAAATGGCTTAAAATCTCTTATATACAATTTTACAGTAAAAATATAAAATAATGTTTTTATTTTAAAATATTTCCTTTTTTTTTTTAAAACTGTACTAAACTCTTTCATTAATCATTTGTTATGAAAATAAATCAACTTATTCAACTTATTCAACTTTATTATTGAATTTACATTATTAGATTATTTAAAAAAAAAAAGACAAAGAAAACTCTGCTTGTCAAACACCTGGCAACCAAAGGTAAATATCTAAATACTACTCAACAAAAACTTTATAGACTTGGTTAAACAAGGAAATACTTATAGAATATATGTTGTAAATAGAATATTTGTAAGACTTACACATTAATTACAACAGTAGGAATAATTGTAAAGAAATACAAACAATATGAAAATTGTAAAAAAAATGGACGAATAATTTTATTAAATGCTGAAAACAACTTCAAGAGATGATAAAGAAATTTTAGGAATCATTAAACAAAATTTATTTAAAAATCATCTGAAAAATATGTTTTTTGCTGTCATTTTTACTTTTACTTTTTATACTTAGAAGCCTGGGACTTAAAGAATTATGCATACTATTAAGATTATCTTAAAGAACAAATGTTACAAAAATATATTTTTTATATTTTAGGCTACCTGAATAATTAAATGTATATTTTATATATTTATTATTTTTATTTTATGTTAATGTTACAATAAGTTTAAAAAGTATACAATGGTTTGCTAAACGCTATACTCTAGTTAGAAATATAAACTCTATACTCTTGAAATATTCAATGACTGCTATTTCTTCTAGAAAATATAGTCAATGTAAGTTTTAACTTTCTAAAAATCTTTACTAATATATAAAATATTACTAAAAAAAACAATACACTGATATAGCTTACATTTTCCAAAAATTAATTTTATTTGTCTTTTATATTAAGTTTTTCAATCTAGTAACTAAAAATTAAAACTAAAAATTTGCACTAAAATTTTCTGTTTCATGCATACTTCCATTTCGAACTTAACTTATTCTTTGATGCATACCATTCTTTGTTTACAATATATTTTAATCGATTAAAATTGAATGAGAGTAAACTGGAGATTGGCCAGTTATATTATTATGAAAATAATGTTTTGTCATTAAATACTCATTATCTCTTATTTTCATATGTAATCTTTTTAAAATGTTCTGTTATATTTATTCATGTTAATATAACATAAATTAACATAAAAAAATATTTATATAATTAGAAACCATATTTATTCAGCAGAGTTTAGTGGATGTATAGCTTGTAAATAACTATTCTTAAGAAAAAAATCATTTGAAGAATAAGAATGAATTTTGCAAAAAAATATTATTTGATGACAGTATAATTTTTGGAGGTTTTTAGAAATGGAAAGTTTTTCAGTCTGATGAATCCAAATTAACCTTAAAAAATCTGATGGTGTGCAAAGAGTTTGGCAGAAGAAGGACAAAGCTTTTCATTTGAGTTGCATTAGAGGAACAGTTAAACACGGTGGTGCAAGTGTAATGCTATGAGGTTGTAATGATTGGAATGATATTAGTAAACTTGAATTTATTGATCCAATGAATGGTAGTTTATATAGCAATATATTAAACCAAAATTTGAAATATTTTGCTAAAAAATCTGAAGTCTTTTTTAATTAAAATTTTAATTATTATTTTAGAATGGCCTTTGTGGAGATTTGAATTCAATAGAGCATTTATAGACTTTATTAGATAAAAAAAATAGGTTATAGAACATTTATGAAAAAAAGAAGATTTGAAGGTAACTGTTGTTAAATCATAAACATTGACAATAATCAAATGTCTAGTAAAATCAATACACTTCCTAGATGTAATTAAAAAAAACGAAGTTCTAAATATATTAGTAAAATATAAAAAAAAAAATTTCTGTTATTCTAATAAGCTAATATTTTTTCTTAGATTTAATCTATAACAACCTTTTTGTACAATTATTTTATGTGCAAGTATTTTCAGCCCCTTCTTTTAATTTTAAAAAGGTAATTCAAAAAAGATTTTACACTTTTTTTTTTTTAAAGGTTTTTTACCAAATGAAAAACCTGAGTAAGTTTTTTATATGATACACACAGAAAACAAATGTTGCGAAACCGCTCAACATAAAATGTTTTTGTTAATTCTGAAACACTTCCAATTGGTTCTAGGTATGAGGTTAAAAATGGACTAAATAAATTAATCTATGACAACTATAAATATGTGTCAATTGAAAACAATTTTCGTAGCTTATTTAGTAGTGAAGAATTTGTAGAATTAATGTTTGGTAATCAAATTGAAGATGATGATTTAATTGGCTGTTTTTAAGATGGAGAACGCTATAAAAAGCATTATTTATTTAGTGACAACAATTAATTTTCTATCATGATTCAACTATTCTATGATGGTATGGGTACAATAAATCCACTTCGTGGAAATACATCAACCAGCAATGTTGGAGTTTCTTATTATACAATCCAATATTTGCCTCCGAGTCATGACTCTTGTTATGCTAATATACATCTATTGGCGCTTTGTTATACTCAAGATTTGAAAGTTTATAGCTACAATAATATTTTAGAACGCTTTGTAAGTGAAATGCAAAAACTACAATTTATTGGCTTTTGTGGGGACTTTCCGAAAATTGGTTCTAAACTGATTTATGTTGGTCTTTGTCAGGTGTCTTGCGATAATCTTGCGCTCAATGGGTTGTTTGGCTTTATTGAATGCTTTTCAGCAGATTTATTTTGCACTCTATGTTTGGCAACCAAAGAAACAATTCAAACTAAAACATGAGTCAGATTTTGAAATGAGAACAATAGCTTCTTATAATGATGATCTGAAAGCATTAGAAATCCTTGCTTTAGGAATTCATAGCCATGGTGTCAAAGGAACTTGCTCCTTAAATAAAATTCCTGGTTTTCACTACACTGGCATACACTATTAGAAGGTGTGGTACCTTTTGAACTTAGTTGCATTCTTTTGATCAAAATCAAACATTATTTCTCATTATCAGTTTTAAACATGCATCAATTTTTTGATCGTAATTAAGTTGATATATCTAAACGACCACCAACAATTTGCCAAGTTGAAAAACCAGGAAGAGGTCTTTCACCTTTGCAAGACTTGCTTATCGCCAGTGTAACTCTTTTTACTCTCGCTTTTCAAAGCATATTTAAAAAATAGTATTTAAATAGTATTACACTGTAGGTAATAAATCAGAATTTATGGTTGCAAGTCTTGCTGGTACTTACCATGAATGTATTTGCATTAAACTTGGTATAGAAAAGACAGAAGTTATTTGTTTAGCTTTGAAATTGAATAAAATAATTTTGTTTTAAATTTATCATTTTAATACTGTCATACATTGAATATTGTTCAGTATTAATTATTATTAGTATCATTTACATTGTTCTTGCTTGACATTAAAATACAAAAAATGTTTTGTAAATTGAAATGCTTTTATTAATAATTTTGTTATTTTTAGTTGAGTTTCTTTTTCAAACAAAAAAAATGGATGTTCTTTTTTAACATTTATCTGGTATCATGAAAGGGTATATTTTTTCAATATAGTTTCTTCTTTTTATGTTAGTTTGAATATTCTTAATTTATTTTATATTAATCATAGTTATAGTTTAATCCGACCAACTAATTATTACTAATTATTTAAATGAATAGTTATTTTACTATTTTTAAATAATTTAAACTATCTATTTCATTACTATTTGTTAACATCACATTAATAATAACCATAATTGACAAATTTTGTAACTTTTTTATGAACCTTGGCTTATAGAAGAGGGATTGACTCTTGATTCCTTTGTTTTGCTTAATGAAGGAGATCATAGAGAACTGGGTTTAAAGATGGGTGAGCGAAAGCCTTTGATGCCTTGGATAAAATCAAGTGGTAAAATAACTAATTATAATTAATGTTTTGAAATAATTTTCATAATAACTAAAATAAGTTTGTTTAAGTTTAAGTTAACAAAAATACTTGTTTGCAGTTTGATAAATAAAAGTTTTGATTTTAGCCTATAATTTATTTGGTAGAAATATAATTTTAATGAAAATGTGTTTCTGAATTATCTCCGCCAGAACTGGTTAAAATAATAAATTTTTAAATACTCTAATTTTCGTAAATTTTAGGTTGTTATCTAAGTGTCATTTTTTCATATTAGTAAACTCACAATCTTCAACAGAATGTTCATCAATGATGGATTCAACATCAGTATCAACTCCAGCTGCAAAAATGCTACCACTACCGGCCCGTGATGTAGAAAATGTAGAGCCACAGGCAATGTAAAAAAATAGTATAAAAAAGTCCATTTATGAATTATTAATATAATTATATAGAAAACTAGCTCATTAGTAACAATTTTGTGCAGGTTTATGCACTTGAGGAGATATTATGTAACTATATAAAGGGAGGATCTAAAATAGTTGAAAAGCTAAAACAAGGCATCTACTTCACAAGATCAGAACGTGTTTTAATGAATAAAGTCCTTGGGAAATATCTGATGAAAAACTGTTTAATGTGAGTGCCATAGTGCAACATTTTTATCATTTTTTGTTTGATCTTTGTAACTTTATTTTTTAATTTAGAAATTTGTCAAGCTGTAACATTTTAATTTTTTTACCTGATTCTTTTTAGTCAAAATGATCCTAGTTCGAAAGAAATGACAAATTTGGCAAAGAGTATTATCGTGGAATTTCCAGTTCTTTTTTCTAAAACCACAACAAATGGATATGTAAACATTAATTAGTTGGGCATTTTCAAATGCTATATAACTGTAAGACTATGCATAATCTAGCTCTTTTTTTTTAAAGGAAGAGATCTACTGTGCAAAGGTTGCCACTAGTTATCTTGCCCAATATGTGCACCGAAAATCTCACAAAGACCCATTTATTTATTTTTTAACAAAAATCTCACCTACTTTTTTGTTACCAAGATGTGTATGTATGATTTTTTTAAATTTTTGTAGAGTCAGGATTAGTAATCCTTTACCAAACATTGAAGATGATGAGCGTCAACTTCGAGAAAGTAGGCCGACGGCAATAAACCTATCTGAGTTAGTGCAGCTCATGCATAACACTAGAGAGAATAGACGATCTTGGATCAAAACTTGCAATCCTGATGCCACTAGTAATTTAAACAGACTCCCTCATTTATTTGATGTAAACGAGTTGGTATGCTTTTGTTTTTTCAATAATTCCATAAATAAAAAATATTTAAAAAAATATAATAAAAAAGTAAATATATTATCATATGCAACTTAGTGGAACAAAATAAAAATTATCCTATAAACATATATTCTGCGAAATAATTGTCAGGTTATCCTGATATTGTTACAGTTTAATATAAATATGGATGGATTAGAATAAGTTTAAAAGAATTTTTACTGATAATAAAATTTCATAAATTATTCATGAAATTTTGCAAATATAACAATATTTTGCACACACAAAAAAAGACGATATACTGTTATTATCATTCTGTTATTTTTAGATAAGCCAGGAGTTTGCAGCGATTGCAGGCGAATTTCTTACTCTGCGAGTTGCTATGTTATCTTTTCGTCAAAAAATACTTGTATACTCTGAAAAGCTTAAAGATAACTCTACTATGCAAGAAATGTTCAGAGCAGATGAATTTGATGAAGGTAAGCAACTTTCAGGATTTTTAAAACTATGCCTAATTATTACATAAATTGAAAATTACTAATTATCTTTTCTAGACAAAAAGACTGAGTTATCGTTATTGCTGTTGCCTCACATATTGGTTCCACCACCGCAACAAGGCCTAAAAGCTCCTAGAGTTGGGAGGGATGTAGTGTCTAATCTGATGTTTTTGGATATGAACGAGGTAAGTTTAGATTATTTCTAAAAACAGTTCAATCATTCAAAAGTCATGCAATTATTTTCAAATTGTCTTATAAATTATAAATCTATATTAATTTTTATTCATACAGGAACAGATGAGTGTCCCTGAAGCAGTTGCTTCTCTACAAAAAAATGTATAGGCAGGTATAGACAACCTTCCACCAATACTTTTTCATCTTGATAAGATTTATTACATCAATTTGGAGGATCGGGCCATCAAACTTCATGATGCAGCTTGTTTTTGTGATGCAATGGAGTTTTTGTTGAAGTGTTTTTATGTATTTAATTTAACTTATCCACACAAAATAAAGCCAATTTATGGTCTGCTTGAGCATCTCATGCACATGAATGTTTCGATTGGAAAAAGTGACGCTTTATCAGACTTCTTGGGAGCAATGACTTAAAAGTTGCACAAAAGAACTAAAAACAATTACTTTTTTTAATTTTAGTAGAAAAAACTTTTTTAAATTTTGTAGTTACTTTTTGCATTTATTTCAATCTTAAGCATTATTACTTTGAAATAATATTAATAAGACTATTGAAATACAAACTAAAAATCCCAGTTACACTTATGACATGGAATGATTCCTTGTTCGTATACCCAATTACTAAATTCATTCTTTTCATTAAAATCAAATTTTGAGTTGATTTGATAGAAGTATGAAATGCGCAGTTCTTAAAATGCAGAACTTGAAAAAAAAAAAAAAATGTTTACAATGCAGTCCTTGCTAAAGTAAGGTTTCTTAACATTTGTGTTGTAAAAAATGCAACATTAAATGTTGCGTTAAATTATGCAACATTTAATGTTGAAAATTGTCAACACGAATGTTTGGGAATCAAATAACAAAATCAAATGTTGCGCGGTAATCAACATTTTTGTTGCATCTTCGCAACGTTTTTTGTGTATAGAATGTTTTATAATTAGTATACATGATAAAATGTTTCAAAAAATAAAATTAGTATGCATGATAGAATGTTTATACTTTGAATAAAATATTATGCATAATATAGATATTGTATTATTATGCATAATGTTTTATTTAAAGGTGTTTAAACAAAAAATTGAACAGAGTTTAATTGTACTCTGTTGGATTAAATTCTGTTATCACTGTATATATAATATTAATAATAGGAGATTAATAAAAAAGTCATTTACAAACCTGGACTATTTATATACATGTGTATAGGTTTTTTTCTACTCTCTGACTGGAGAAAAAGCAATTGTGCTACAACAACACTTGAAACATTATCATCTATCTAGAAATAGAAATATTTTTACATATTGGAGTGATATAATTACACAGTAGTCTCAAAAATAACCTACAACTTAAAAACTAATCTTTATTAAACACCTAAAACACTGACTTTATATATTTATATATGTATATATATATATATATATATATATATATATATATATATATATATATATATATATATATATATATATATACATATATATATATATATACATATACATGTATATTATGTCATATATATATATATATATATATATATATATATATATATATACATATACATGTATATTATGTCATATATATATATATATATATATATATATATATATATATATATATATATATATATATATATATATATATATATATATATATATATATATATATATATATATATATACATGTATATTATGTCATATATATATATATATATATATATATATATATATATATACATGTATATTATGTCATATATATATATATATATATATATATATATATATATACATGTATATTATGTCATATATATATATATATATATATATATATATATATATATATATATATATATATATATATATATATATACATGTATATTATGTCATATATATATATATATATATATATATATATATATATATATATATATATATATATATATATATATATATATATATATATATATATATATATATATATATATGACATATTATACATCTTTTTTTTTACCTGTTTGTCTTTAGCTTCACTTCACAGTATATACTTGCCTAAAGTTCTTATTTTATTATTTGTTGGTCTTTTATTTTTTTTTTTCTTGCATTTTTGCAAAATTGTTTGGCGAATGATATTATGATCAATGTTTTAACTGAAACCTGAACATTTAAAACCTGAGCTACTGTGAGTCTTAAATAATGTTTATTGAAAAAATAACTACTTACTGACTATACTATAAATATACTTCTTACTGATTGTAACCTACTTTCTTTACAATCTATATTTGAAAAAATGCATTTGATTTTAGTAGGATTTCAGCTTGATTTTTCTTGGACTAGGGCTTGGACTTGGTGATGTTACTCATATTTGTGTACTTGAAGTAAAACTTGCTCTAAAATTTTGATAAACAAAATCTCAAGTTTCCAAAAATAACTTGTGACAACATAAAATCTTTAAAAACCTAAACACACATGCTTTTAACTAAGAAGTCAATATTTTTCACATCATATATGTATGGTATAAAATATATTATATTATAACTATACTGTCGGATAATTGAAAAAGATGGGAAGCTGATTGTATGTGAAGACAATATTGGAGACGCAGATGGTTTTGAGAGAGTACATGGTGGAAAGGGATTTGGCCTAAGAAATATTAAAAGATAAACTTTGTCAAAACTTGTGTTATTAAATTAAAGTGTTACAAGATTGGCAGTCTGTAATTTGTGTACTTTTATTCTAATTCATTACCAACATGGCTGCAAGCAACCACAATTAAGTTGAGAGTTACTACAAAAATAGAGTTAAAGAGCAAAGAAATGGAAAATGTGTGGCAAATAAAGCAGGTAGAAAATACTACGTTTACAATGTGTTTTTGGACTTTTCTATAAGAGAAAGTGCATCATTAGAAGAACCAGACCAAATATGACAGCAGTATTCCATACAGGGAAAAATAAAAGATTTGTAGAGGTAATCTTAGATGTAAGATATTGGCAAGAATGATAAAGAGAAGCAACCTTAGCAAATGCTAACTTTGTAATTGATTGTATATTTGGTTTCCATGAGAGGTCAGTATAAAAACATAAAGAAGAGGACTCAGTAATAAGGTTCATTAACATACGAATTCATTAACATACGAATGTCAACAGTATTGCAGTATAAAGGTGAGTCATCAGCAAATAGAGCCATTTTAGATGGAAGGTTGTCAGGAAAACCATTAATGTAGATAAGAAATAAAACAGGGCCAAGGATGCAACCTAAAGGTACCCCAAATAATACTGGAATATAAGAAGAGTGTAGGCCTTCGAAGATGACTTTAATAAAGCGGTTAGAAAGAAACGATTTGATGAGTTGACCATATGAAGCAAGCTTATGGAGAAAACTTGCATGCCAAACTTTATCTGAAAATTGATTGAATGATAATAGTTTCAATATTTTTAAAAATTAGAACCAGAGATGCCATTTTCCAGCAGGAGGAAAACAAGATTTAGTCAAGCACTTATTAAATAATTTAGGGAGAATTGAAGAGAGTTCTGGAGAACACTTTTGTAAGACTATGACAGGAATGTTATCTGGACCACAAGCCATAGAAGAGATTGAGAAATGACTTTAGCAACGGAAGCTGGAGTGATTTGAATGTCTAATAATGGGCAAATCAGTATGGCTATAAGATTCTAGACTCAAATTAGAAAAGAAAAGTTTTTTGTTATTATTTTCTGCCTTATCCTTAAGAGATTTATCTCATAATCAGATAAATCCTATGAATTAGAATTACCTTTGTTAATGATATTGTTAAAGATTTCCAAAAGTCTCAAGAGCCTACCTTCTGAGATATGATACGAGATTTGGTGAACTAGGAATAATGGAGCTTAGCATCAGATAACACTTTTTTATGTTGATTTTTTGCAATAATTAATAGGCATTTTTCTGCGGAGAGAGAAAAGATCAGCCCAAGGACTGTCACATAAAAAAAATCAGGAAAAGAATCCCAGTCAGCTTTAGTGCAGTAGTATGTAATACAATGATAGCTTGAGTCTGAAGAAAAAGTCAGAGATAAAAAATTTATAGAGATCTATAGAGCATGGCATCCTAAACAATGAGCTATGCAGTTATCTCAGCCCTGCTAATTAACTCAAAGTTGTAACTTAGTGTTTCTTATGTATCTTCAACAATGCACACCAAAAGCATTAACAGAGACACCATCCATGCATAACATGTTAATGTGCATGGCACTCATTCTTTACAGCTGTTGATGAAATAAACCTGAGAGCTACCAAAGAGTTCAGGAAACCTTAAGGCTGGTCAACAAAACTATTCTGCTGTAACCTAAAGTGTTTGCCTATGATACCTTCAACAAGACAGTAGCTGGATGCAGTTAACATCTGCCCAAGATAAGAATTTTTATTGACACCATATCTAGCCTTTAATCAACCAAGAGCCCTAAGGCAGAAAATTTTTAGCAGGATCAGTTAACATCTGCTAAAGATGAGTGTTTTTATCAAGACACTATCTCTAGTCTTTACTCAACCAAGAGAAGCCCAAAGCAGGGGATTCTGACCTGACCTGAAGTTGTTAAAAGGAGTTTCCTGTTACTTCTGGTAAGCAGTACTTTTCAGTCATTTCCGGTAAGCAGTACTTTACATCTAAAAAACCTTACATCTAAAAAAAGATTAAGTTGAGCATACATTTATAGTTGGAGTCACTAGTTGGCTCACACTGCAACAGAGATTTAAACATAACACAAACATACATAAAGTAACGTACAAGAACATCGTGCCAGAGGTTCAGACAGAACACAAATATACAAATATAGTAAATTATGTAAAAAGCTATAAATAACTTTTTTTGAACTACTATAATATTAACATATTAGTATATAGTATATATCATGCATTTTTAATTTTTAAATTTATTGTAATCTCAAAGTAGCTTGAAGTGGCTTGAGTTGGTTGCATCAAAACATATTATTTTATAACAACAATTGTATGTTTTGATATGCAATTTATTCATGATTTTTAAGAAACTAATTGCTATGTATGCTAGAAGTATAAAAAACATTGATTTTTTTTCTTATGCATATTCGTTTTCAAGTCTTTTAGCTTTTAAAAATGTTTTTGCTATATTTTTGTATTATTGTTAAAATATTTTTATATTTTACTTTTTTTCTTTAAACTCAAAATCAGAAAATAAATTTTTATTTATTTGTAAATATATTATTTGATTAATAAATTTTGTAATGACAGAAGAAATTATAGAATAAAATAAAACCATGGTTTCTTTTATAAATGTATTCACATTATTTGTTTTTGTTTGAAATTATTTCCTTTATATTACCCAATTTTTAACATTAAGACAAAATACTAGAGATAATGTACATGGTCGCTCTGTTTGAAAAAATGTATTTAAAAAACTATAAAAATGTTTTATATAGACTCCTATAAATTTAGTTAAAAAAGAAAAGTAAATTAACAATGCACTAGCTCACAAGCTTTTGGAACATCAATAACAAAAGTTTTAAATCAGGTTTAAATACACAATTTGGAGAATCCAATGAAAGTGCAGACTAATTAAATGGAGGTAGTGAAAACAACCAAATATTTTATTTATTATGTTAGATAAAAAAACTTGTTAAAAAATAAAAATTTTACAAATAAATATCAATTAATTTTCTTGCTCTCCTCACACATCAAAAAAATAGGTTTTAAGTTTCAGGTCAGAGTTCCCCAAATATTTTTATGGAACTTTTATCAGTGACTCTTCAGGATACTGTATCTAGAAGCCTAAAAATCAAAAGTTAGCTGTTTTTGAAAAAAACGATTTCAAACTTTTGTAAACTATTTTATAAAAGGAGAGGGGGTGAGAGTTGTAAAGTCAAGGTTTTCCTTATAAAAAATCAATATTACCACTTTTTAATTATGTTAAGGTTAATCCAGTATTGCAGGCAATTAAATTTTGATCATCTTACAATGTTAATTTTTCTATAGAATTGTTGATGGAAGCGTAATTCATATAGTATATTATATAGTAATTTATTTATTTAATATAATAATAGAATGTTTCAAACCCTAATTATTGTTTCGTTATTGTTAATATTAAACATAAACTACTTTATTAGAAAAATGCCTAATATATTATCTAACAAAACAGTAAACAGCAAAGAAAAACGAGACCATTCATTGAATCAGAAAATTATTTGTTGCTGTTGTTTGAAGAAATGTTTAAAATGTATTCCAGTAACGAAGTTATTAGAGGCTCAACTGAATATTCAATATCTGTGTACAGTTATCCAACAGGTACATTCCATATTATGATTAACTAATGCAATTGTTTTATTAAAAATTACTTTCTAAAAATAATCATTATTTAAAAATGAATTTACTTTATGTAGGCATTTGTCCAACATGCAAAAAGTATGTAAACTTACTAAAGGAAAGCAAAGACATACCAAATGCAGTTAAAACTCGATGGCAATCTTTCCAATTATCTAGATGTGTAAGTACTAGAAATTGTGAAACATGCACAGTTTGTTCAAAGGCTAGATCAAGATTTCCACATATGAAAAAAAAACAAAGAAATTAGTAAGTTCTAATAGGATGTGTAACGTTTACTTATGTGCGATCAAAAAAGGAATTCAACATCAATGTACTGAAATGAATGTGTATACAAATCTTTCTGCTAAGTTATTTAATGCTTCGGAAAAAGTTCAGAAAAAAGTCACTTCGAATGTTTTAAGATTGATTATTAAGAAAAAGAAACTTAAGCATGGAATCCAGACCCATCTAATTACTGGTAATTTGTTTATTAGATTTATTTGTGTTTTCGAATTGATTAAATCATCTAAAGTATTTTGTTATTCAGCCATTACCTATAACTATTGGTGTTCCTCAATTAGTTATTAGGAAAGCCAAATTTGAAGACACTGAAACTATGATTAATCGACTTGGACTTAGTCAATTCAAATCTCACATCCTTCTGAAATCCTTAAGGAAAAGTGGAATTCAATTTGAGGCAAATCTTGAAAAAAAACTTTACCAAAAAAGTAAACTCCTATCTGAATTTTATGATGTGAAGACAATTTTTGCAGAAGAAAAAAAAAAAAGTTGTCAACCGATGTGTCAAGAGACCTTGTTTATGTTTTTCAATTAACAGAGCTGCTTAACTTTGTAATGACTTACAGAAAGCAAAACCCTTACCAAACATTAATACGAATTGGAATTGATTCAGGTAAAACCATTATTAGATGAAGAGATAATACTTAACCTATATATAATATAGAACTTAATAATATATATTTTTAATATAAAATTAAAATTTTGTAGGAGGTGGATCACTTAAGGTAATTTGTAACCTCTTTGATCCAGAAAAAGAATGATGCGAAGGTCAAAGTTCTCACGGAACATACTCTGGAATTAACCATTCCATAGTTCTTGCATATTGTGACAACTTGTAGGAGAAAAATTTAGCCATTTTATTAGATCTTCTAAAGCTAAAAGATTGTAAATATGTTCTTGCAGCTGATTTGAAAAAAATTAATATTCTTCTAGGAATTTCAGTAAGTTGTGATTTAAAAATAATTTATTATGTAACTTTTAATTAGTTAATTAGGATTTTAAAAAAAACATAAGAAAATTTAGTCTCATGGTGGCATGTATGCTTGTGCTTGGTGTGAAGGAGAATGTGAATTTTTTGGTGGGTTGACAAGAACATTTTTATCATTGGATCTATGGCATCGGAGATACATGGAAGCTGGTTATCGAAGTTCTGAAATGAAAGATTATAAGGTGTGAATGTTAACTTATTTAATTTAAAAATTTAAAAATCTTTTTATTAAATAAAAAAATAATTTTTTTAAAATTGGTAATCAAATTAATAAACTTTGATAGAATGTGGTGAATGTATGCCTAATAAAGGAGAGAAACAAGTCAAAACTAGTTCTTGAAGTCATTCCTTTGCCGGAGCTTCATATGTTAATGGGATTTGTAAATCATATATCAACTTATATAATTGTTTATTGGCCTGAATACAAAGACTGGGTCGACTCACTTGGATGTATTAGAAGAGGATACCATGGGGGAACATATGAAGGCAATACATGTAGGATTGTTCTTAAAAACTGTAACCAAGGCTTTCACTAAGGCTACCAATTGAACTCTTACCACTTCTATGTCCAATGAGAAAATTTGAGAAATTAGTTCAAGGAACCTTCGGAAGTTATCTTAACCCTTGTTATCTTCAATTAATAACTGACGTTGGTTGTTCCTACAAAGCCACACAGGAGTATTGTTCAGAGGTACAGTTAATTATAATGAACTTCCTTTAAATTGACTTTTAATATACTATTATTATCTATCTTATAGAATATTTTATTAGTTTCTAGGAAAGAAACTTACTGTGACCTGGAAAATACATATAATCTCAGCTCACTTGCAACAATTTATTGAACTTACTGGTCATTCTCTTGGACGATACAATGAACAGGCATCTGAATCGGCTCATTCAAAAATGAAGCCAATAATTGAACGATTCAATGTTTCACAAACAAGCTCAAAGCACTCCCTTGGAAGCAGAAGAATTGCTAAATTATTCAGCAGTACTAATTTATAGATTAAAAATTTTAGATAATTTGATATATGTTTATAAATTTAAAACATTAAATACAAATAATTTTTTTAATCGTTAGCTAACAGCATAAAAAAATCTTAGTTTTTTCTAACATTTGCATTTTATGCAAATGTTAGAAATTGCAATGTTAGAAAGATTAACTATTGCAACATGAATAGTTAATCAGGTATATGAGTTAGGATAATAAGAATTGTCTTTTTAAAAGAATTTAACATTTTTTCTCCCCTTCAAAAAAAAATTCCACTCCATTTCAAGGCCAATACAACTTTTTTAGTGTTTGAGATAACTAACTTCTAGACATGTCAGAAACTACAAACATTGATATTTTCATGTTTATGTCAAATAACGACACTTTGCAAAATTTGTGATGATTAGAACTTGAGAACAAAATAACCACTAAAGGTTAGCCCCCTACCCAAAACAAGTAAAAAACAATTTAAAAAAAAATTACTAGTAGTAACTCAGTTTAAATTCATTAACAAATTTCAAGTTTCATGGAATAATCTCTTAGTGTTCCGTTGTTATGACCCACCAAAGTTTATTGTCCCCTCAAATTGAGGGGGATTCGAACTTTATATGGTCATAATTTTTGAACACTCAGATATCATTGCATGGAATTTGAAATTCATTGATGAATTTAAACTGAGTTAATAATAATGAAATTTTTTCAAATACAAACTTGTTATGTTTGCATTATGGACAGGGGGGGCTAACATTAAGGTTTTTTTTTTCCCAAGCTCCAATTGTCACATATTTTTGCAAAGTATCCTTATTTGACATAATCATGAACATATCAATGTTTAGAGTATTTCAAACATTTAAAAAATTTGTCTACAAATGGCCTTGCATTAGAAATTTTTTTTTTTTTAAATCACTTTTTTCAAAAACGGCTACCATTTGATTTTTAAGCTTCTAGATACAGTATCCTGAAGAGCCACAGATAAAAGTTCCATAAAAATATTTGGGGAACTCTGACCTAAAACTTAAAACCTATTTTTGTGATATGTCCTGTGCATTGATAAAAACAGTAAAATTTAGCAAAAACATTAGAAAAACAATTTTTAAAATTGTCCTTATTTTTAGTGCAAATAATAAAGTTTAATATACTGAGTAACAAAAGTCGCGAATTGTTTATCAAAAAATGTTTTCGTTATCAAAAAATGTTTTCGTTATATTCTAATCTGCTTTCTTCCTCAACTTGTATCAATTTTGGTAGTAGAAAATAAGGAAAAAAACCCAGTAAGATATTGAGGTTTTATTATTTTTTTTAACAAACTTTTTTTTTTAATTTTCAATTTTTTTTTGTTAGTTTATTTTATTTACGGATACTATTTCATATAGCATTTGTTTACTTTCTTTAGGTATTCCTGTTTTATTCTCTATAGTTTCTTAGACCTTTATTTTGCTGCAAATTCTTAAAATACCTGCTATATAAAACGTGGTCAAGTTGTCTAAATAAATTACTTTAAACATGTACAAACAAGTCATGTGACCGCACATGCTTTTTGGGATAGCTTGTATATGACTAGAAACACTGGATTTAAAAAACTTTGAATAAAAATTTTTTTTAGGGATCCCTCAATTTTGTTTTTTTTTTGAACATCTTCACCAACAAAGCTGCAAGCAACCACTATTAAAGTTGGAAGTTACTGGAAAAGAAAAGATGAAGTTTATAAAGCAAGATAACTAATTACAGCCTGTTGCATAAATATAAACCCTATTATACAATTTAAACAAACAACTAAACATTTTAGTCTTAATATATTTTCACTCAGAAGAGTTAAAATAATCTAGAGAAAAATACACACAAAAAAACACAATAAAATACTGTAAATGTCTTATAAAGTACTGTAAAGTCTCATTCTATAGATTTGAAAATATTTTAAACTTACACCTCCAAATAAACAAACAATTCTTTCTTTTAATAATCTTGAATATATATCATATGCCCTTTCTGTTCTACCCTAAAATTATATATTATAACTATGTACATAAAAAAGTAATATTAGTATATAAAAGTAAATAGAAGTAATAAATATAAAATACAACAATAATATTAAATTTTTTACTGTGTAGAAGATGTTTTTACTTTTTAATTGTATAATTTAGTTTTTTTTTTGCCATTAAAGAATATATACAGGGCTCAAATTAAGCATATGGTGATTGCCTTTCACACTTTTGCAATTAGTTTATCATTAATTTATGTCGTTTCTTAAAAGTAAAACTTTTGCTTTTTATTAAGGATCATAATGTATGTCACGCTAAATTTATCTTTTGAATTTCTATTGATCTATCTTTTGAATATTGATTTATCTTTTGAATTTTTATGATCATCACTCGCTCTCTTGTGCGAAGTTTTTCATTCAACATTAAATGCTTTAAAATAGTCTTGGCGTGGAAGCCAATAATGTTTTAAAGTTATATTTAGTTTGATTTATTTAATGGATTGTTGTAATTCAATGGTAAAGTATTGTATATTACCAGGTATGGACAGGAATAGCGTGCAATCGAATGCTATTGCTTAACACGCAAATGATTTTTTTTATTGACAACTTGACCACGACTGTTTAGATGTTTTAAATATTTCAGAAATGCGCTGAAAAAAGAAATGCTAAACTAAACTTAAACTAGGAAAAAAAAAATTAAAAACACTACATAAAAAAAAAAAGAAAACAATTCCTTAAGAATAAGAAAATATATAAGCTTTATAATAAAACTCAAAAAACCGAAGTGAAAATTACTTTTTTTTTAGCGCTTGAAATAAATTACTTTAAAACTTATCTTTTGAAATGTTTTATTAAAGTTATGCAAAACGCTTTTACAAATTAATTCTAATGATTATTTAATAAATAAACTAACTTTATTTAAATTATTTTAAAGTGAAATTGAATTATTGAAAAGAAAAAAATATATTGTGCGAAGTTTTTCATTCAACATTAAATGCTTTAAAATAGTCTTGGCGTGGAAGCCAATAATGTTTTAAAGTTATAACTTAAAAAAATAATCTTTTAAAAGATTTTTAGAATAACCTTGAAAATTAATTTCAAATGTTTAAATTTATTATAAAAATACACGCCTACCAAAAAAAAATTTAAATATAATATATTTAATTTAAATAAAATGCATTTATTTTAACTAATCATTAAAATTAATTTTTGATTTATTTAAAACCTTCGCATAAAATAAAAACTTTAGAAAAGATCAACAATTGAAACTTATTTATAACATAACAATTTTTATTGCATTTAAATTGTAAAAACATTAAAACAGCCGTGGTCATACTGTAAAGAAAAAAAATTATAAGCGTGGTCAGTTGCAGCATGCAATCGCATGCCATTTCTGTCCAAGCATAATTTACCTATAAACTAAATCAAAACAACCAGCCAAGTTACTAGAGTTAAGATACTCAACTGTTAAATTTACTAAATCAAAGACTCGCAAAAGTTAGTTATACAAATGTTTCTATTTATATTTTATATGCTGTTAACACATAAACTTTTATCTAAAAATTTTGACAATAAATCTGGAATAGAATATAAAAAACGTGATACCATATTTTTTTTTATATTTTCATTTTATTTGAAGCAATATTAGAATAAAACTTTTTCTATAAATACGCAAGTTGTTTTAAGGATTTTTTTTAAGAAAAAAACCTATTTGAACAAAAGAATTTTAGTCTTCTGAAATTCTCTTATTTAAACAATTTTGCAATTGAAATTAGAAATTTAAAAAAAAAAAATTAAAAATTTATAAAAATTTTAGCGCTCAATAATTCTGTGTTCAAAAGGAAAATTAAGATGAGTCATGAAATGTCACTTTACAGCAGAGCAATATAAAAATTAAAAATATAAAATTGGTGCAATTGCAACTTTTTGAAAAGTATGATTTCAAGCCTTGTATAATGAATCTAAAATTTTAACTTTTTTCCTTGATACTTAATAATATTACTATTTGAATGCCATGTATAACTCATTTTCAGCATTTTTTGATTTATCTCCCTTTTCCTTTTGCACACAGAATTTTAAATTTAATTGCAGTTGACGTCTGCAATACCCAGTGGTATAGCGAGGAGCATTCCTAAAAGTAGCAAGGTCATATATATAGCATAGTGCAAGAAGAAAGTTTTATTTAAATCATAAATATTTTAAATAGTTAATTATTTTTCGTTTCTTGAAAATAGTTTTTAAAGTATAAATATTCTATTGCAAACACTAAACCAGTGATTATTGCAAACATTAAACCAAAAATTAAATGATAAAAATTTCGAATTAAAAAAAATAAATTGTTTTACTTCTGTTCAGGGATATTTTTTTCCAAAAAATAATTTAAGCATATACTTAAGAAATAATTTAAGCATATACTTAAGAAATACTTAAGAAATAATTTAAGCATATACTTAAGAAATAATTTAAGCATATACTTAAGGAAATAATTTAAGCATATACTTAAGAAATAATTTAAGCATATACTTAAAAAATAATTTAAGCATATACTTAAGGAAATATAATTCAATTTATCAAACAAAATTTTTCTCTCACTTTTTATTACAAAACCATTAGAACAAAACAATTGAATGAAAATGTCAACTTAAAAACAATTTGAATGAAAAAATTAAATTTTTAATAGCACGATAGATCGAGAAGCAATATATTACAAAAAATGTGGTATCTAATGTTTTATTATATATATATATATATATATATATATATATATATATATATATATATATATATATATATATATATATATATATATATATATATATATATATATATATGTATATATATATATATATATATATATATATATATATATATATATATATATATATATATATATATATATATATATATATATATATGTATATATATATATATATATATATATATATATATATATATATAATTATTACTTTATTAGTCTGATTTCATTAAAATCTAATATGTTGTTTTTATTTGTTTCTTATAATTTTATTTATTAAAAGTTTTAACCTGCATAATATTTATATTTAAAATAATTTCTTTTTTTTCTATTTTTACATTTAGGTTAAAATAAAAATATTTACAGTATTAGTTATCCTATACTTTGTAATAATTTAAAATTTAATTAACATTTAAAATGAGACTATTTTAGAGGCAGGTAACATTTTTGATGAAAAAGAGCTTGTTTGTTGCCCAAAACTGGATAGCAACTCTTTTTGCACCACAATATTTCTAAACATCCAGAAATCTTTACATAATTAAAAACATTGTGTTTGTTAAGAAATTTTAATAGGTTTACCTATAATTTACCTATAGCTCTTCATTGCCTTGTTCGTCAATGATTTTTGATTTAATTTACAGTCTGTGTATGTGACGTAGACTGTAAGTTAAAAAAAAAAAAGGTGAAAAATAAATTCCAGCATTTCAGCCTGAAATATGTTAATTCCAATCATGAAATAAGTCACAAAATCCAGATGGAATTCTGGCCGGAACAGAATTCTGATACATCCCAAGTATAAAACAGCAAAAAAACAGTCACAAAGTTGTTTTAGATTAACACAAGCTCTTCATTTTTTTATTTTTTTTATTTTAATTCACCTCCTCAAGGCCGAGAAGGCCACTACAGGCGAGGAGGCTACTTATTTGTGGTTATAACCCTCTCTCAACTCTATAACTCCGAAACACGAACCTTGACAAACAAGGCCGCTGCGCGGAGAAACGAGTTGAGCGAGGTACTACCAGGGACGTGGTGGGGATCGAACTCGGAACCACTCGTTTATGAAGCGAGCGCTCTACCACTACACCACTACCGCATATTCATATTGTCAAAACAATTTTGCAGTATTGAGACGGCCAAGATGAGATGTGGCTTTTTTATAAAGAAAAGCGCATTTTTTTAAAGTTATTCTTTTTTTTATGGTTGAGATAATTACTTTTTACTTTAGTATAGTCCTTAAAGATACAATTTAATTTAATTTTTTTTTAATAATTTTTTTTATTTTGAGTTCTTTTGATTTCCACAAAAAAACTTATCTTAGGAAACTGGTTTCCTAAGAAAAGATGATTGGGTGTGTTGAAAATAACACAATTTTCGGTATAAAGATATTTTTTTAATGAACTACTCATTTATATTCTTCAAGAGGAAGGACTAAATTACGATAATCTGCAAAAATAAATATAAATAATATTTCAGCGCAAAAACAATGCACTGTTAATATACTCAACTTATGCAACCTTTCCTCTACAAACTTATGTGCAACCCTCCCTCCACCCCATACTGCAAACCGGTGCCAAACAGGAGGAGGGGGGAGGTTCAAAGAATATTTTTATCACAATTAGTTTTCTTTGCTAGTTAATTTGAACCCTGATATACAATGTACAAATATATAACTAAATCAATATATATATATAGCCTTATCACTGAATTCCATTAAAAACAAATTTTACAGAACTGTATCATAAATATATATTAAAGTGATAAAGGGAAAAGGGCAATTTTTATGTGAAAACATCCAGATAATGCAACCCTAAGTCTCAGATTTTGCTGATTTTTACACCACTTAAAGATTTTAATAAGTTATGAACATTTAATTCTAAACAGTTTCAAAGACATGCTTCTTTAAATTTTGCCTTAAACCAATAAAAATCTGCAATTTTGAAAAATGGTTTTGGTCATTGTTTCTGTTCTGTGTGCAATGGAAAGCTGAAAATCTGTACAGTTTGCATGGAATCTAATTAAACAACTTAAAATTTTTAACAAATAAACATAACACCTGTAATTTTGACCTTTATGGCAATTTTACTGAGGCGAGTTTATTTACAAAAATGGTGATGTAGCTAAACTTTTTTTTTTAGATATTTTCCTGAATAGTTTAGTTAGAGTTATTACAAAGAATTGGAGAAGGTCTTTTCTTAAACAAAAAAAAAAAAAACATTGTCAAATTTACTTAAATTTGTTCTTAAAAAACAGGAATTATGAAAAA